ATGGTTAACGAATCGAATCGAATCGAATCGAATCAAATCGCTAAATATGTACCGTCTTTTCTCGAGACAATAGATTATAACACAAAAGCCCAGAATGAAAATGTACGAATGCTTTGAGAACTCGTAGAATTTACCGAGAAGTTTTCCCAGAAATTGATTTGAAATGTTGACGATTTAAACAGTTACGTCAGGCGGGAACTGACACGAAAATTATAATTTAAAATGAGATTCATAGGCGAAAAGCGCGTAACAATAATTCCAAGTTAAATATCACGAGGGAGCAGGTATCTTTCGAAAAACCGTACAACATTCGTGATCGTAAAATATTGTAGTCTATCGAAAGAGAAATTTGTAATGCGCGAAGGCCGATAACTTTCACTTAAACTTCAGCTACCGTGCGACGTAGACATTCACGTAGTCGTGTTTGATTTTTTGATTTTATTGCTGCTGTTGTCGACACCGCGCATTAACGGCATCGATAAATCGGTGAAAACCTACTGTATCCGAATATACGTACGTATAAAATTGAAGCGAACGATTTGAAATCGGTATGGACGCGAACGATTACTCGCGACACACGCGAGACCAGAAATACGAAACGATATTTCGAATGAGAAATGATAGCACAGTCACTCAGTGGGAAAAATACTATATGGGATTTGAAATTAATGGTTAAAAGAGTGATCGACCTTAACCTTCTCGCGGTATATTTCCTAACCTAAGAGACTCGAAACAGGAAATACAGAGAAACGTCCACCGCACACTGCTGCCAGCGGTTAACTGAACTGTTCAAAGTGACATCATGCGCATATGTAACGCCAAGAGCTAACGATATCTCGAGATATCGTACGATTTTATTATTTTTTTTTTCTCACGGTCGGTCATTTTAACCTATTTTCATTATTTTTTTCTCGTCACGTGTTCGTATTCGTTTACATTTCGAAAATAATCCGAGAATTATTCGAGAATTATTCGAGAGTTACTCGAAGGGTATTCGAAAGTTATAATGCAAATTTATATTACCTCCGATTTTTGTAATCTTCTTTTCGCAATATAGACATTTCGGTGGACAAACGAAATGACATTTTGTTACAATTCGAAATGTCGATAAATCGAATGTACTCTTACACGGGAACATCGCAACTTTCGACTGTCCTGTGAAATACATGCAGCAGCATGTTTTGCGAGTATTATATTCGCGAAAGTTGCGAAAGTTGCGATTCAAAACGCATAACATATAATATTCGTTTGGCATTTTGGTAGCGCGGTATTCAGTAGGATGAAACATTCGATTGATTCCGTTATCGAAGAAAATCGTAGAATGTAAGAAACTCGTACGAGGATTAAAGTAGTGATCACGTGACCGTAAAGTAATACGATCTCCGCATAACACGTGGACGGAGTAAAGGTTTTCAAACTCTTTCGATATTGATTATGTCATCGGATAAATTATGACGTTTCAAGTAAAGTGAACATATTCTGATTAAAATGGCCAGAGGACACTTGCGACGCGTGTGTCTGTCGAACTGCGAATTTCTGTGAATACAGATATACCCATTAGAAATATCGAGATAGAAATTCTCGAATCGTTCAGAGAAACTCGATTGTTTCATTATAAAATGGACGGTGCGTTAAGAATATGAACAAAACGATTTACAATATACTTTAAATTTTCAAGGGACACACACGTAAGTACAAATGCTACCGCACAAGTGGCCAATTCATGATACTTTTGTGACTGTCGCGATTCTCAAACGCCTTCGATATAATGCAGTGATTCTCAAAGCGATTAGCACCAATTAACTCGTTAAATAATTCAGTAAACCGTATCATTGTATTCCTTTATTGTGCGATGAAATTAACGAAATTTCTATTTAATCAAACTGATTCTCGAACTCGACAAGAATTTCTTCAAATTAAGCCACAATAGCTTTATGGAAAATTTCCACTTATCTTCCCACTTCTCTTGTGAGCATCTTCTTCATACAAGTGTAACCTTGACCTTTTTGAACAGCTAAAAGAGCTGGGTTCCGAATTGTCTAATAACTGCTCGTGGAAACTGTTAAGTAACGTAAAAATTCTGTACCAACCAATTTTCTTTCTTTCTTTCTTTTTTCTTTTTCGTTTTTTCGTCATTTATCCAAACATCTATATTATTCTCGTCAATATACATCTAATGTCCGAATGAATCGAACCTACGTGTTTTCTTAGAATTTGGCCTGAACTTCGATCCGACAAAAGAAAAAATTATGTAAAATCAATAATTATTGACCTCTTCTAGCCTGATACATTTTTGCCGCGTTTTTCAAGACATGTAATATGTAATAAGGGTAGGGTGAGGTGGGATTTATTACGCAAAAAATTAGCATTTGCTATGTCACGACAGAGTTGTAGATTGCCCGTGTACCTCGTCCGTCGAATAAACAAATAACTTGAAATATGAAACATGAAACATGAAACATGAAACATGAAACATGAAACATAAATCAAACGACCTAAAAATTTCAATCGAGAAGATAAGATGGAGATTATTGGAAATTGAAAAAAATCCGACGAGTTCGTCTTTTTTCTTTTCGTTTTTAACAAACAAGGAAAAAAAGGGGATAAAAAGGAAACGCTCGAAGATAATTTCGATACGATCGAATCGAGGCAGACGTTATTAATAATTGGCAATTTTGATAGCGTGTAACTTGTTAAATGATGCAACAGACCACCGAAAGGAATGCCGCCGACTTATACATTTCTACATGAAAAACCTATACCCTCGTGAATCATTCAAATTTTCGATTTTATTATAGATAAGGTTAAGTTTTTCTAATGTTTTACCGATACCTGTTCTTCGGAATACAATTCAACTAACGAATTCGCATGCGCAACGGAACAAGCATATTTAACGAACAAGTTCGTTATTGCTTATTTAAAGATCATAAATATGTAAAATGGTAGAAATCGTAAAAATGAACATTCCTAGAATAATAGCCTAACTAAGATTTCGTTGAAGAGAGAAAATATTCTTACGAGAAGTCCGAAAGTCGATGAAGGTTAGTTTACTGGAACAAGTAACGTACGAGTATTAAGTAAAACTCACTTGCGATTCGTAGTTTATACAGGTGAACACGAAAATGCAGTATTTAGTGAGATGTCTCCGATATACATACGACAGATCAAGGAAGAACCGGACTCTA